TTTTTCTTAATCTTTAATAAATACAGACTAATTTTTCTATCAGTAACTTCAATTTTGTATATACAATATATATGTACATATATGATATATTCACTTTTGATTTAACGAGTTACGTAAGTTAAAAATAATACGAAATTGCATACCTATTGGTACGGAACTATCAAAGCTCGAATTGTTCTTTTACTATAAATAATAGCAACATTTTTAATGTTATCGCTCTCAAAAGTTAAATATCGTCAATGAAAGGTCATAGTTGTCACGTATCTTAATTCTAAACATGAATAAGGATAAAGGTACCTATTGATGGAGGGTTAATTATCTATACATATAATAAAATTGTAACTAAGACGAATCTGCACATTTAATATTTTTTGGAAAATCTTATTGAAATAGACATTATTAAATAAAACTATCTTTTCATATTATTCTGCGGATTTATTTTGATTTTTGGTTCCCGACGTTTCGAATGCTTTACAGCATCCATGGTCACGGGGAGACTGAGGTGTTACATGTCTTGAAGGTATAGTTGTTACAGACAGCCTACCCACAATTAACAAAATGAAAATTGCACCAATTACATTACAATATTTTTTAACTTTAAACATTTTTATAATTTTAATTATAATTGAATATGGAAAATTATTTATTTAATCTTTGCTATTATTTTTATAATTATAACAATTTTAAAAATATTAATTAGTAATCTATATTTAGTGTTGCCATTATTATATTTATAACCATAAAGAAAAATATAAAATATAGTATTAATTGTTTAAGCCATATAATTGTTCTATGTGTAATTTAAAAAGTTAAAATTAATTAAGGATAATACTTTTAATTTAGTTTGCTATTATTTAAAAACAACTTACTAAGCAACACTATTAATATTACTAAGCAACACTATTAATACTGTAACAACTATACCTTCAAGACATGTAACACCTCAGTCTCTCCCGTGACCATGGATGCTGTAAAGCATTCGAAACGTCGGGAACCAAAAATCAAAATAAATCCGCGAAATAATCAGAAAAGATAGTTTTATTTAATAATGTCAAACGTTCGCGTAAATCTGCACAGGCCGAATCTATAGTTATTAAAATTTTTATCTGTCTGTCTGTTACCGCATTACAGAAAAACCACTGGATGGATTTTGATGAAATTTGGTGTGGTGATAGCTGGTTATCCGGGTCAACATATAGCATACTTTTTACCGCGGGAAAATGTCTCATTTTGAGAAAAAATACAAAAACTGCAATGTAAGAGTATACTAATATGTAAGACCTAAGAATTTGGTTTTTGGTCATCTGAACGCGTGCGGAGCCGCGGGCAATGCTAGTCTTTTATAAGATTTAACAACGTTTTCGAAATTAAATAGATAATAGGAGTTTTAGTAATACATAATAAGATACGTTTCATGCTTGAATGAAATAATAATTTAATTGCATTACCCATAAAGAAAGTTAAAGTGGGCAAAGATGTAAAGTTGGGGAAGGTCAAAAGTGAATACATTCATAAACTACAAAATGATTTATTCGATTGTATTCATTGCAGCTGTAAACCTCTTAAAATTTATTTGTGGATCTCGCTATACTACCATGAAGCGTTAAAGAAATTACGAGTTATTTGTTAACGGTTTATAATAATTTAAAACTACATGCGTTGAATTAACAGCTTCTCATTTTTACACCCAAATCTTGTAAATTTATTATGGAAAATTGTTTATTTTTGTAGATATTTTTAAACATAGTTTATCTGGTAGACATAGATTAATATTAGAAATACACCGAGCTAAATTATTGCGTGTTACACCTATTTGCGGGAACTTGCGTGTTTTCTTTTCTTTATTATAATTATTTTCTGAAACTTGTTCTCTTTGCTATTTTTACTTAGCCTGTTTGCTGTTCATACAACAGTGTAACTACTAGGTACTGATAGAAAAGTGGATCTTTATTGACTAGTGAAAGGTGTCAAAGCTGTCGTTACTTACTTTAAGCTATTTAAATATCGAAACGTATAATGTTATTTTAAAGCTTAAATCAGAATCACAAGTAAGTATTGACTAGATTTTACTGGAGGACTTCAAATCCGGTAGATTTTTAATCTAAGAATGATATCTTGCATGATATATTATTCAATTATACTTAAAAAAAATATTTATTTAATATAATTATTATTTTACCATCATTTCTAAATAGCGACTCATCACCTCTTTGCTCGGGTTCGTCCCTACGTGATTCTTTAAATTGACATATTTATTTATGAACCGATTTAAATAAAATAAATACTAAATTTTTAGAGAAGCTTCTCACAATACATTTGTGAAAACCACACCCAAATTGGTTTAGCCGTTTCTGAGATCATCGCGTACAACGCACTGAAAAACAGACACAAACAGAAATTCAAAAAGTCATTGTTTTTGGGTTCCATTGCGGTATATATATATATATATATATATATATATATATATATATATAAAAGCACGCTCATCAATTTTGATACCGATTCGTTGAAATACTTGCCATAAATCCATAATGGAAATTGGAAACGTATATTCTTAACTAAAACCACAATAGGTACTAACTAAAATACTTGTTGTGAGTTCTTGAAGCTGTTTATAATTATTATCAGTCCAAAAGATCGCGAGTTCTATCAAAGTGCTACTTGTTACAAGTTCTTATTCTCCTATATCGTATATTATGTTTTTTCTTTAATTGAAAAGAGGAAATATCTATATACTAATATGATAAGATATTTTGTTTCAATATCTTCAAATAATAACTCATTATAGGAGTAAGTTTATTTTATTTTTATATTATATAGTAATAATGAATATTGGTCACTGAAATACTAAGTGAGTGACGATAAAGTGCGAAAATAGAAACTGATAAACACTATTTTTTTATCATTTTTAAAGGAGTATAATATTGTTTGAACGACCTAATAATAAAACGAAAATAATAGGTAGTAGGTAGGTACATAATATCTAATCTTTTATTTATAAGTTTTTTTTTTACTTTAAATTATTTTCTTCTTTTTAGAGCAATTAAATAAAAGTTTGTTTTATAAAATGTTTTTTTTTTATTATTAATTTATTTCACAATCATCATAGTTTACACGTATATTTAATAAATTTTCTTACAATACACGTCTCAAACTATTTTACTGAAAAAAATACACAAAAGATTCATCTACCTACCATATACGAGCCGGATCTGTCTGTCACCGAGCAAATGCTACTGCTGCTGAAAATGCAACTGACATACAACAGCTGCATTTTCAATAACGACGCTTACTGAAAAACTGTATACCTAATTGTCTTATTTTATGCCGTGTTATAGAAGCAGCTTAAGGCTATAGTACTTATAATAGTATTTGCAACAACAAAAAATAACATAAAACTAGGTATAGTAATTGTTAATTCTACCAGCAAGACTAAATTCTTTTTTTTTGTGATTCAATTGACGCAATGGTAGCTTAGTAAGAAGCGGGTTCAAATCCCGGGTCTCGCATCTCTGATATTTTCATGTGCAATTTTTTCAACATGATTTACCACTTGCCTTACGGTGAAGGAGAACATGTTAGAGAGAACCTAACAGGTTTTCGAAAGGCATGTGAAGTCCACTAACCCGCACTTGGCCAGCGTGGTGGATTATGACCAGATCTCGCTTGCATTAAGGGGAGGCAAGTGCAGTGGAATGTTAAAAGGGGCTAAATTTAGTTTTGGTATGTATTAGATTACATGTTTATATTATATATCTATATATGTATTTATGTATTTATCTTATATAAAATGTATGTAATTAAAATATGTATATGTTTTGTATATTTTTATATATGTATATTAATGTATTCGTATATTTAACTTTTCTTTATGTGTCGAACTTATATACTTTACTAAAAAAAACTGCACTTTCTCTTTCTGTCCCGCTATTTAATACTTTTTCCCACATGGGTACATGGGTTGACTGGAAGAGATCTCTTATGGACATAAGTCCACCTTTGTCCACGTCACTTTCTATGTATTTTGTTTTTTTATAACTTAATTGTGCAATAAAGAATATAAATACAAGATTAAATTATTCTATCTTTATTTCCAAAGGTCATAGTTCTTAACTGAAATACTTTAACAAAATTATCAATTAAAAATAAAATTCAAATTCAATTTAAGTAGACATTTATTTAAATTACAATATTTATTATACTTTTTACAAAATTTCAAAATACAAGAGATTGGTACACTCCATGCGATTTCTGGTCCATTTAGAAAATCAGTCGCGTAGTCTTAACATAATTGGGAAAATCAGTGTTAAGAGTATATAAGCATATTATTTAATAGGTGGGTCAAACTTATTAATAATAAGTAATTTAATTTTCTTATTAATAATAAGTCATTTAAAATCCTTAATTTATTAAAGTTAATAAAATGAGATATCAACTGTTTATTTGTGAATAAATTGAAGTAATAAAATAGTAATTAATCACACACTGTACAAGGGCATTGTTGCGAAATAAAGTTGACAATAAAAAAGTAACGAAACTGAATGAACTTCACAATAAAATAAAAATCCTTGAATCCTCCACAACTTTTGGGCACAATGTGAGCGGTATAAATAAGACAAATAATAATCACATAAAGTTAACCCTTAATATTATTATTTAATTCAGATACCCTGTTTGGCATCTTATTGTAAAAATATTCGATATAAATAATAATAATAAATATAAAAACACTTGTCTTTTTTTTATAAAAACAATGCTTTAACACTTCATTTGCACGCAACATGGTAAATATAATTACAATAGTATTCAAAATATAAGGTAAGTATTTGAAAAAATCGTAATAACAAAAACCTTCCAAATAGCGACACTGCGCTCCGTGCCAACTTCAAGTCGGTCAAGACTTCAAACCCACGGCTCCATCAGAAAACTTTCTTCTTGCAGAAAGACAACAAACTCCATCGCGGAGTAAACGACACCAAAGTTAAATGGTTAACGAATCATATGCTAAGAGAAGGTCTTTTCTTCCTTACGCTTTTGTTGCTTAGTCCGAGGATTGTACCAATTACCTGCAAAAAAATAAATTTTTAAATAATTTCTCAACTTATTATGATTTTTATTACGTTACAAAACACAATACTTATTCAGGGTAAAGACAAAGTTTCATTTACGGTTCGAGTTGGAGAGATTCCAAACGTACTGCATTTGGTTTAAGCTTTGTTACTCAATTTACTTGATAACACATTTTTTTTTATTATGTAATTGCTTAAAGCAAAGCCTAAAATAATATGTATACGTAGTTTTGTACGTTTTCTATATGAAATATTTTAATGATATTTCAGAAATGTACCTTTGATACAGAGTAAGCAGCAAGTTTACGACGCGGGGTCGGCAGTAACATGGCGAGAGACCGCGCCTCACGCAACAACGCGTGGAAGGCGAGTGCAGCGCCCGCGCACGACTCTGCCGCAGAAACTTCATAGAACTGGCAGCCGAATCTTAGCGACATTTCTTGACCTTCTTCTGTTTTTACCGCCCTATTAGGAATGGAAGTTTCAAATTAAATTCTAAACCAAATACTAAATATAGAAAGTAAAAAATAAAAATGTGACAGAAAATTAGTAGAACAATAAATTTTAAATGAAATAGAGTAGAGACTAGTCACTAGACTGTAGGTAATAAATTGTTACACATGAAACTTCTACATTTATATATTATGGTATATTTGCTTAATAAAAAGCGCATTCGAAGAATGCTTAGAATAAAACAAAAGCATTAGTGATTAGAATAAAACAATAATTTTGTCTGTCTGTTCGTATATGTAATAGGTATCGCTTGAGAACAGGTGGATGAATTTCTATGTTGTAAACTTAAATACACCCACGGTCGCAGTCGAAGCCATAGGCGAAACCTAGTTACATATGTACATAACTTTAATAAAAATATAAAATCTATAAGCCATTTACCGTTTGCCGGAATGAGACTTTCATTTCACTTATGTCATATTGCGTTGCATTTTTTTATTTATGACGACATATTAGAAATTCTTGATATAAAACTACCATAACAGAAAATGCAGAAAAGCGGCGCCACTATTCTCGCCAAACATTCTTGTCGCCACTCCGGCGCAATATAATACGCAGCTTTAAGCAAAAGTGGCGTAACTACTTAATAATGTCTCATAACAGTAATATTTTTCATAGCGAAGTGTCACAGCGTAATACTCGTATTTATTTTATTTATCAAAGGTCTTGTGTTTCTACATTCACGGAAGTTTCGAAATAATACTATAAATATTTATTTTAGCTGAAACTAGATAATTTTTAAGGTTCTTAAATGTAGAGTTTTAACATTTTTATTTTTTTTACAGAGTCTAACATAGCGTACCCTAAGAGAATATAACACAAAGAAGTAAGAACCGATTTTTCGATTTTTTCCAACCTCTACCATGATAGGCAAAACCTGCATATTTGGTGTAGTAGTTTATGCAGTATGCTCCAATACTACTACAATAATATGTTTTATTAAAAATCCATACCTTGCGTGTTCTAGATCCCTCTTGTTTCCTAACAAAGTGACAGAGGTACAACCCGGCAATCTAGTGCGTTCAAGTAATGCCAACAATTCTGCTGCTGCTAAGAAGGAACGTCGATCACACACCGAATAGACTACTGCAAAAGCATCACCCCATCTAAGGTGTTCCGGCAAGCAACCTCGTTTCTGTAGAATAATGAAATATGTAATTAATTAATTATCATATCAAATAATATACTAATAATAAACTCGTTTTGTGAATAAAATACTTACCGCACAGCCGCAAGTATCCAGAATTTCTACTTCAGATGTTACTCCATCAAATGACACACGATGTTGATATAAGAAATCTAAAACAAAAATCGTATAACATTATAAACGATATCCCTATATATTACGTTTGGTTTACATATATATATCTGTATATATTGTAGTATAATTTGCTTTATATTTTCGTAAACATTTATTTAAATAAACTTTTTCGCAAGCGTCCTTGTGTTAATGGCTATAACACTCTTAAAGCATTAATCATGGGATTGCGAAAAGGAAGAGTGACGTAACGCATCGGGAATTTGAATTTTTTATAAAATAATTTAAAAAGTCAATGGCCGAGTTAGCGGCGCCGGTCCCCTCCCAGCCTTGGCTATCACTGATACACTTGCCAATTTCGCAAATAGCCCATTGGCATCTAACGCTTGGCAGACGATAAGGGCTTATCTTAAAGAACTATTGTGTAAGTACTCTTAACGAATTTCACAAGGTTCTAACTTTGATATTGAATTGTTACCTACATAAAATATAATAAGAAATATTGTAAATAATTAGTAGGTATTGATATTCGTTAAATGATTTTAGTTTTAGTTAGAAAAATTTAACTCACCGCCTGTCGAGCTATATTCCCCGATGTACCTCTTGGTTAAATAACGGACTACCACAGCTGAAACAAACATAAAAAGTTTAAAGTATGTATTAAAAACATCTTTGTTGTAAAACGATATGACACTTGCGCGTTAGATCTGTGACTCACTGAGTCACTAGCGCATTGTATTTCATCAAAAGTGTAAAGATGTGGGTTCGATATTTTCGGATAGAAATATTTTCATTGGCTGACTTAAAAATGGAGGCGTTAAATAATTCGTCTTTTTTTAATCATTTTTGGCGATATTTTAATATTTCTTTTTAATCAAGAGGTTATAAGTTAGATCTTCCGGATTTAAAAAAGAACCACTTCTACGGGTGGAACAATTACTTTTCAAGAGATTTTAAAGAATGGCATAAGGAACTACCAAAATATATAGTTAGTAAAAAAGAAAAGTAGAAAATCGATTAATACGTAACTATTTCCTTTCACCCAGAAAGGACGCTATAATTCCCAAACCCTTTATCTCTTATCCATAAAATATGTTTTACTAGCATTGCCCGCGGCTCCGCCCGCATTCCGATGACCAAAAAACAAATTCTTAGGTTTTATATATTAGTATACTCTTACATTGCAGTTTTTGTATTTTTTCTCCGAAATGAGATATTTTCCCGCGGTAAAAAGTATCCTATATGTTGACCCGGATAACCAGGTATCACCATACCAAATTTTATCAAAATCCCTCCAGTGGTTTTTCTGTGATGCGGTAACAGACAGACAGATAGACAAACAGACAAAAATTCTAAAAACTATAGATTCAGCCTAGTCGATAATAATGTCTATTTCAATAAGATTTTCCTAAAAATTATTAATTTTATCTAGATAAACCTATACTAGAATTTTATTATATGTATAGATTTATCTCATTCTCTCATTAGACAGTCATTAAACAACATGCAAATTTATAACAGAGAAAGCAATTAGTCTTTAAGAGGTGTTACAAAAGTCTATTTCAAGAATAAATTTATAACTACAAGTTTCAATTAGAGAGAAAGCAGACGAAGAACTTAGTTAGAAGCAAACTATAATACTATTAATATTATCCTACGTTTTTATATAATATTCTAAAAAAATTCTATTTAATATCTTTTTAAAAATAAAATAGGAAAAAGAATAAAAAAAATAACAGGCGACTAGATGATATTGAAGAAATTAAAAATAAATAATTCATTTCATTTATCTACCTGAACGCTTTCACGAAACTAGTTAAAAATTACCACTATACTACATATACTGTATATATATATACCACTTGTCGACTCATCAACTTTTATAAACACGCGTTATTAAGTATTGCACAGTACCTAATATCTTCTCTAAAATTTCTTATATAAAGCATCATTACTTCCCTTATAAAAAATAAATATAAATTAAAAGTGCCAGTTAAAATCGGAGTTTCTCAATATAACGGTAACAATACTTCAATTGTATTTTGTATGTATCAAACGGCTGTTGCAATAGTCGGATAAGAAAAATAAATTGTTTACCTAATCTTTTCATTACAGCACGTCTGAATTATCAACCAAGATTGTACTGCTTAATTTTACTATCTTTGTGTCGAACGTTGTCTATATGTCGCGGCCAACTAACTAGCTTAATCAGGCGTTGGTTTAACGGCCTAGCCTTTTCATAGAACGCCGCTTAGTTAGCGGTTTAGTTAGCGGCTAAATGACATCCAGGCATTAACAGCTAGGCAAATAACTTGTTAAATATCATTAAATAACTTGTCTAGCCAAAGTAAAGTGCTAAAAACTGAATAAAATGTTCATTTAATTGTTTTACATAATAAAGAATTCTTAATATTAAATATTTCATATACTTTCGTTACACGATTACCCTATTCTATGAACGGCCTAAGCATCTGCCAGCCCGTTTATAAAGGTTGTATTACACGCATTGGCTGGATATGATTTCGGCCTTTTAATTAAAAAGCTAGACCACTAATAAAACGACTGATTAAGCTAGTTGGCTGCGATATATATAAACTATAGAACATTTATTTATTTCAGCCTATCGTATAAATTAATTGTTAAGTTCGAATATGAATTTTAAAGTCAAGGTGTACTTAGAGTAACAATTTTAGATTTTAGTAATAATATATATGGGACAAAACATATTTACGTAAACCTTAAACAATCTTATTTTCTATCATTTCATTTCATAAGCATTAAGCTATTTTATTGAGTCTTGTCAGCTTTTAGCTTGTGAGTATACACTTGTGACAAAGCGATAAACATGTCATTTCATCTTTATAGCGACGCAACTGCTTTACGATTTTCTATACACGCTATAAAATTGTGTGTAATGAAATAGACGAGATCATAATATTTAAATAAAGTTGTAGTATTATAAAATTCTGATACTGCATATAATATTGAAGTAATAAAATAATTGATTGCTGTTTTAAAAAAAAAAACATAAATGTAATACTCAAGGTATTTCAGGAAATTTTTGTATAATTTAATTTATTATGGTCTGAAAACTTGTCTTCTTATCAAAACACTCGAAATAAAATTCAACTTGAGCCAAATGACCAATTAAACTAACAAGTCACTTTCACTGTTGATAAGAGTTTGTGGTAAGGTAACTACAATATTATAATATTTTGAAAGCAAGGCAAACACTTGTAATTTAAATTTTGGTAAAAAAATATGCATATTGTAATTAAATAAGTTATTTTAATTCATATATTAAATCAAATGTCAAAATTGAAAAAAAAAACTTTTTATAGCCTTATTTAAAGTGCCTCATTTGAATTAAGGAATGCAACACATACAACAAAACACGTAATTCACCAAAGCTTGGACACATTCCAATTTTAAAGTTGTGTAACGCATTTTGTACGTAAAAGTATTGGCATAGACCTTTATAAGAGAATCATGGAAATCGCATTAATTCCTTGAATACACTGGACTGGTAACGAATAACGAGGTCTATAACGGTATCCATTGAAACAAAATGAATTTAACAGATCATGTTCACTGAATACGGTAAAACTTAACTGAAGGTATACTTTAATTAAAAACTCCGAAGAAATGACATGACGGAAACTGCCTATCTGCCATGGTAATTGGAGTTTTTACTTACTGTAGAATAACCATATATGTACATTGTACATTGATATTCAAAATAAAAAAGGACTCGATAGAGCTTTCTCCTAAATCGCAATACGTGACCTACAAATTTTAATTTCTCTGCTGCAAATATTGACAGCCATGTGTTTCTAAACAATGATGTTTGACTGCGTGACCTGGAAATCCATAAAACTGAAAGCTATTATTACATGTCTTGTCAATGTCAAAATTAAATACTTTTTATTTCTATTTAATATAGCGTACCTAACGTCCTAATGAACCAATTTCTTTTTGTTATTGACCTATTCTGCATTCATATTTGCATTGCAATGTAGATAAATTAACAGAGCTGCAAATAAGTTAGAATTTACAATATTTTTCGCGTAACCTACAAACGTAATATTTTTTATCGTAAGATTATATTGCGTGCTGTGATATGTGACACAGTTCACAAATATTGGATGAAGATAAAATTAGCAAAATTATGCGAGTGACTAAATATGAGTTGTAGAGACGGGTGTCCCAGCAGACGCTTGACCGGGTGACTCACTGTGTCTGTCAGTGACCAGTGGCATGCGGCTGCGCACTCTATAAATATAACTGCAACTGGCATTTAGACGTTCTCGATTTTCGATCCCGAAACGTTCAAAAAGTTTTATATCATACTAGCATTGCCCGTGGCTCCGCCCGCGTTCAGGTAACCAAAAACTAAATTCTTAGGTTTTATATATTAATATACCTACTCTTACATAATAATACCAATTTCATTTAAATATGTATATACTATCATCGTGGTTTTATTCTAACCAGTTTTTGTATTTTTTCTCAGAAATCAGCTATTTCTCGCAATAAAAAGTATCCTATATGTTGACCCGGATAACCAGCTATCACCATGCCAAATTTCATTAAAATCTCTCCAGTGGTTTTTCTGTGATGCGGTAACAGACAGATAGACAGACGAAAATTCTAAAAACTGTAGATTTGGCCTCTGTATCGATAATAATGTCTATTTCAATAAGATTTTCAAAAAAATATTTAATGTACAGATTCGGCTTAGTTACAATTTTATTATGTGTATAGACTATGTACAGAATGTTTGGATTTGCATGTTATATTTTAACAATGTAATACGGCATTACTTTATTTATTTAAAGCTGCAGAAACAACGAATCTTTAATTACAAATAGCGAATTAGAATACCTTTTTAAGTGTCAAAGTTGTCTTCTGTGCGCTCCGCCTATCTTGTTCTTTTGATATGAGAAAAAGATATCCCTCTAAGTATATATGTAAGTAAATAATATATAAAACGTCAACTTAATCTAAAACTATATTGTATACACAATATATGTATATTGCAATATTAAGATATTTTTTTAGGATTTTTTTTCTCTTCAAAGATATATTATAATATATTTTTATAATATAAAACATTAGTTGGCTAGTACTTGTAGTAATTATTATAATGCAAAACGGTTACAAGCTACTCGTATTAGCCATCGAGAAAACGCGAAGCGAAGTTTTTTAAAAATCACTTATGCCCGATTTCACCAACGTCATCTAAGTCTTAAGGGATCCCCTAAGCATGGTTAGGGGGCTGTTAGAGGACAGTTTCTGTTTCACCGACAGTTAGGGGTCACCTAAATATTAAAAGGCCCCCTAAATTTAGGTGCTCGAAATATGGGCTTAAAGACGATCGTAAAACGAAATTTAATTTAGGGGCTAGTTTAGGAGACTTTTAAGCTAGGGTTCCCATACGTAGGTGGTAGCTTATGGGTTGTTGGTGAAATCGGGCATTAATCACATAACATTTCGGAAATTCGCGATCCATATTCAACCTAACACCAACAAAGAAATCTTTTATTTCTTAATTATTTTAGACTTTAGCTTATCGGATTCGAACATGATCGTGGTCTCTTACGTTAGTTTATTTTCGCCGCAATCTCG